ACATATATATATATATATATACAATTACTCGAGGTATGATTGAACGTTATCAACGCCTTCTACTATTCCTTCGTAAAGTGTCCTGCTTAAAAATATGTTTTTAAATAGCTGCACAATTAATTATCTTCTAGAAAAACCGCGCTTTCATACACACCGGCAATGTATTTTTGAGTTTCACTTTCTTAGAAATTGTTCTGACTTCTGTCTTCTGTTGAGATCTTTTCAAGACATATTTTTTTTGTATGTACACAAAGACATAGATTTGTGTTGTTGTTTAAAAATAGATCTGATTCTCCCTACGTACATACATAGCTTTCAGTCAGTGAGTCTGAGGCTCTGAGCTCTTTGGAGTTTGGAGTTTGGAGTTTGGAGTTTGGAGTTTGTTTAGGAAATGTCAAGGAGTAAATATTTTGTTTTTGTGAATATTAATGAAAGCGTGAGTCGGGACTCGGGAGGCTGTGAGGCGTGAACCATGTATTGGTTTTTTGTTTTTCGTTTTTTTTTAGTATTATGTATGTCCCTACAAACATTTTTTTTTTAAACGCCTGACTTTTGTCACGTTTTTTTACCAAAAATGGAAACACGTTCCGAATCCGATCGTAAAAGATAAAACTCGATAGGATTTGTATCATAGAGAAACTGAGAAAGATGAACCCGACCGTAAACGAAGCCGATTCACATTCTCGTTTATGTACAAGATTCAAACGTAAACGATACACTTCTTAACGTAAACCAGAAAGCCGAACGGATAAAATATTATACGGTCATAATTGGTTTTTGAATATTGTTTTATTTGTGTAACGTTTTCAAGTCCCCATGTCTGAGACATGTCCTGAATATTTGTCCTCTTGATTTGTTCAAGCCAGAATCATGCATATTTAATTTTAATTTATCTCCTCCTAATCGGAGAAAAGGCAAAACAAGAACACAAACACAAAGCGTTGGTTGGTGACTTCATTCCAGACTTCGTTGTGGCGTGATGTGTAATGTGTGCAGCTCAGTTCAGGGAGTTCAACTCCCACTGTTCAGTGAGTCACACAGGGACAGTGATCACTGATCAGTCTCAAAAAAAGTTCAGTCACCATAATTTTGGACCAAATCTAATTATTGATAGGTCAACAGAGGCCTTACAGGGCACCAAATTTTACACCTTATCTTTTAATCTCGCGGAATGTAAATATGTATGCAGGTTTCCTTCCAATGTACATGAAGTATTTGCGCTCGAATAATAATATCTTCAATCTCACACTGTGTGTCGAGACCTTGTAGTTATTTAAGAATTATAGCGCAAGAGCCCTGCAATTGTCTTGGGAACCCCGTCAATCAAGATTGCACGACGGTGGTAAGAATCATAGGATTGACAGCAACAACCCGAATTGACATATAGACTCAATTTTGAATATTTTTTTTGGTTGCGAAGTTGTCGAGCAGTAGATTCGCACAACAAGTACAGCCACAGCTATGGCTCCGAGGGCATCGAAGCGTCAGCTTGTAGCTACGTCTGACGGTGAAGTTGCTTCTGGTGTGAATTTGAGGTGTGTTCTGTGTCTCGAAGGAGCATATCTTCCAATACAGTGTAGTGCATCATATGACATGAGGTTATTTCTGGTATCAGTATTGTAGAGTACAAAACTAGATGTAAGCAATATATTCCCCTGCTCTCTATAAGACCAGTGCAATCATATGATCTATGCACTTTGTATCGATGGCACATTTTCAGTCATTTGATCAAGTGCCATGCGCGCCTGTCGGTGGAATAACAACCACTGAAGGATACACGCTATGGCTCGATGCTTTTCGTCACATCACAAGGTGAACAGTTTTCTGTATCACCTGAACACCATTAATTAGGAACTGCATAGAACCACAACTATATACGACCACAAGATCAATGTACATACACACAATCCATTTCTGTAGCTGTGGCCAACCAGCACATGTTTAACCTTTAGCTCACACTGACGACACTCACTGAGGTATGCCTCAAATTTAACATCTCTATACTATATAATACTATACACGCCAGAGAAACCGACACCAATCCATCTGAGAGAGCTACCAACCACGCATGGGAAACACGCTTCGGAGCACTGGAGATTCTGGCTGTGTATACTGGGTCTGAGCATGACGACGGAGGCTTACCAGGTTAGTATTGTGTGGTATCGCACATATACACATGATTTGTGTATGTATAAAGCTTTGGAGAGGATGGTATACACTTTACTTAAAATATTCGGAAGACTGATTTTTTTGTGTAGGGCCTCAATGGGTTTTGAGTCTGCGTCAGGCAATCCATACACAAACACACAACACCCCTGAATCAGCAGCATGAAGCAATGGCTGGCAAGATATAATATCAATGCGATCTTATGCACACACAACACCCCTAAATCAGCAGCATATCATATCAATGCGATCTTATGCACACACAACACCCCTGAATCAGCAGCATATCATATCAATGCGATCTTATGCACACACAACACCCCTAAATCAACAGCATGAAGCGATGGCTGGCAAAATATCATATCAATGCGGTCTTATGCACACACAACACCCCTAAACCAGCAGCATATCAAATCAATGCGATCTTATGCACACACAACACTCCTAAACCAGCAGCATGAAGCGATGGCTGGCAAAATATCATATCAATGCGATCGTATGCACACACAACACCCCTAAACCAGCAGCATATCAAATCAATGCCTACACACACACACTACACCCCTAAATCAGCAGCATGAAGCGATGGCTGGCAAAATATTATATCAATGCGATCTTATGCACACACAACACCCCTAAACCAGCAGCATATCAAATCAATGCCTATACACACACACTACACCCCTAAATCGGCAGCATGAAGCGATAGCTGGCAAATTATCATATCAATGCGATTTTATGCACAACATGGGAACTGTATCTCCACCGCTTGTTTAATTTTCTGTTACGTACTAGTGGCATGTCACACGCGTAGTAGTTTATATAAATTTTCGAATTCGAATCAACAACCCAATCGTTGAGTGACTGTGAATATGTTATTAAGATCTATAGAACTACTAACACGATTATCGGATATTTCCTATCGCAGGGTGACTGTGTATATGATATTCAGTGTAGTTCGTATATACATGTATTCACTTAAGATGTATAGAATTACTAGCAAGATCATCGGTTATTATCAATCGTAGGGTGACTAGGTATATCATCTTTATATACCGATTGGCAAGATTATGAGATATTTCCTATCGTAGGGCGCCTTTATACATGATATTCAGTGTAGTACGTATATACATCTATTCACTTGAATATATAGAGCTACTAACACGATTGTCGGATATATGTATACAATCCGTATAGGACGTGAATTCGGGTTTGTAAGGTTGGTCGACGACGTCTTATTTGGCGACACGGATGAAGAAGACAGTATCGAAGTGGAATGGCTGGAGGAGGAGCGTCCAGCTGGGACCACTAGTGACGAATTAGTGGCTGATGAAAAACTAGTTCCCAATGGTAAGGCTACTAAAACCAAGAAGGGGGGCAAAAAGGCCCGAAACAAGGGCAAATACAAGGGCAAGCTCAGCGACGGAAAGAACGCGACCGATGTGCAAACGGTGGGTGCTGAGCAACTGACGAGTGCGTCTGCCGGACAAACCAAGGTGTCTGGAGGGGATGCAGAAGCCAAGCCAAAAGACAGCTACCTACTGCAGTACCACGGCGATGGCTATGGCTATGCATCCATTGGCGCTATCATCTGTTCCGTATCAGATGTGGTCAGTGAAGATAAGACGGGCGTGGTGAAGGTGCAGGTATGTTAGGCAGCATTTGGCTATAGATGTGTAGAGGCGATGGTGACTTTATAACAAAGCATGAGTTTCATGAACCTTCCTATGTGGCTGTGTGTTGCACATTTCGTTGTGTTTTGGGGTATCTCATGACATCAGAGGGCGATGAGATTACTTCTAACGATCTGTGCACTCACCCGCTAGCCCGTATCAACCACTATGCCGTTTGTTCCCACCCCTGAGTAGTTAAACAAATGGTTAGAAAGGATCAGAGATATAGATAGCGAGTCAAATAAGGCATAACCCATCCAACCCCTTCTAACTCCATCTACCACGCCTCGCAGGAGAAAGCTCTGAAGTACGTGCGAGATCGCCTAGATGCGCAACTGAGTGACGACTACGACCGCTTTGTGGACGAGGCAAAGTACCCGGACTACACTCAGCGCATGCGTGCAAGCGGCCGCAAACGCGTTAAGGTGGAGTTCATCGCAGACAGCAAGAGTGACGGGGATACGGCTGGTGCAGGTGGGCGCAAGGCAGCAAAGAGCCAGGGCAACCGCCTTGCTAGGTCGTCCAAGAGGTGTGTGTAAGTTATTGTAGATAGGTCTTTTGGGTGCTGTAGGTGCGTGTAAGATATTGTAGGAAGGTATTTTGGATGCTGTAGGTATATATAAGATATTGTAGGTAGGTGTTTTGGATGCTGTAGGTGTGTGTTATACAGGTATGCATGTGTTTGTAGACACTCAGCGGGTGTGGTTTAGCGCCCACAGCCTTGTGGAGGTGGAGCTTGACAGCGCCGACACAAGCGATCTTCCAGGAGGTATGCGTGCCTGTACTATGCACTCAGAGTCTGCTTGGTCAGAGGTGTGTATGTACTCTGGATGTACGTCGTGAAACACAACGGTTTGTCTCGTTTTTCAAACCTGGTTTATTGGCCCTATATTCCACGTGCAAACTTAATCCGTCGGACGCATGTATGCACTACTGATGTAAAATGGTAACAGACTCTATTGTCAAGGTCACACATGGCATAACTGACATAAACATGATACAGCTGATATATTGGGACAATTATTTGAAGACCCTGTTTGTCTCATGCGCATCTCCCCACACAGCAATTAATATAGAGATCACGTCTATGCACGCACGCCAATTAGGAGTATATTGTTATTGCGAGGTGTCCGGTGTCCGGTGTCCACTTGTTTTGCGTAACTGTCACGTCTATGCACGCATGCCAATTAGAAGTATATTGTTATTGCGAGGTGTCCGGTGTCCGCTTGTTTTGCGTAACTATACGTCTATGCACGCACGCCAATTAGGAGTATATTGTTATTGCGAGGTGTCCTGTGTCCGCTTGTTTTGCGTAACTGCCACGTCTATGCACGCACGCCAATTAGGAATATATTGTTATTGCGAGGTGTCCTGTGTCCGCTTGTTTTGCGTAACTGTAAGCTTATTTGGACACCTGACAATATTCGACTGTAGCCCAACAAAGCCTCGTACCAGCGGAGTGTCTGTGCGAAAGGGCAAGGCGGTGAAACGGGAGGACATATTGCAACCAAACTCGGAGGTGCAGGTGCAGCCAGACCCGTTTACAGTCAAAACGGGGAAGCTCAGTATCTGTGGAGGTGAGTCATGCTTTGCCCCACCATTTCACGGTCAAAGGAAAAGTTTGGTATTGTTATAGGCACGCGTCTGTGGTACAAAGTGTCCTAATATACGAGTGTGGTATGTTGTTGATTGATGGCTAACTATGGCGCAGACACCGTGTGTTTGTGGGATGTGGGTCTCTCGAGGTTCAATGGTGTTGTGAGAGAGTATGTGATTGCATGCGTACACCTTTCGCATTGAGAGTATTGTACATATACTTTGTATTGATTGTATAGTACATATACTTTGTATTGAGAGTATTGTACATATACTTTGTATTGAGAGTATTGTACTTATACTTTGTATTGATTGTATAGTACATATACTTTGTATTGAGAATATTGTACATATACTTTGTATTGATTGTATAGTACATATACTTTGTATTGAGAGTATTGTACATATACTTTGTATTGATTGTATAGTACATATACTTTGTATTGAGAGTATTGTACATATTTTTTGTATTGATTGTATGGTACATATACTTTGTATTGAGAGAGTTGTACATATACTTTGTATTGATTGTATGGTACATATACTTTGTATTGAGAGTGTTGCATATATACTTTGTATTAATTGTAATAGTACATATGCTTTGTATTGAGAGTGTTGTACATATACTTTGTATTGAGAGTGTTGTACATATACTTTGTATTGAATGTATGGTACATATACTTTGTATTGACACGATTGTACATATACTTTGTATTGAGTGTGTTGTACATATACTTTGTATTGATTGTATTGTACATATACTTTGTCTTGACAGTATTGCATATATACTTTGTATTGAGAGTATAGTACATATACTTTGTATTGATTGTATAGTACATATATTTTGTATTGATTGTATGGTGCATATACTTTGTATCGATTGTATTGTACATATACTTAGTATAGATTGTATAGTACATATACGTTGTGTGCGTTCTCAATGAACGCACAAGCTTAGGGACACTATCTACCTCAGTGACAGGTTATATAAACTAAAGGCTTGTCCTTATTCTGTTTTCTATTTAAAGTCGCAGTATACGGCAGGCAGTTGCTTCTGTTTGTTATGGCTGACTCTCTCTCGATACAAATGCTCACTTACCTCAAATGAAAGTGTACTTCTATAGACGTACCTACACGCCCATTCTATGAAAGCATACTTCTATAAACCTACCTACACGCCCATTGTATGAAAGCGTACTTCTATAGATCCACCTACACGCCCATGCTATGAAAGGTACTTCTATAGACCTACCCGCACGCCCATTCTATGAAAGGTACTTCTATAGACCTACCTACACGCCCATTCTATGAAAGTGTACTTCCATAGACCTACCTACACGCGCATTCTTTATTCATATGTACTGCTCACGCGCAACCACTGTGTATGCATACACGCAGGCGATATCGAACGGTGTGGGAAAGAACTCATACGAGCGTATCGATCTGGTGACTCTGCGGTGTTCAAAAAGCTGTGCAAAGGAAAGAGCACTGACGTGCATTCACTGTATGCCACTCAAAGTGTGGATGTGCGCAAAACGGCTCTGGACTACGCCATCGTAGCCGAGGATAAGGTACTGTATGTGTGAGGTTCAAGTACTTATGTGCCTAGGGTTATTGTAGTTGAATTATGCACATAGTCCAATAATATATAAATATATGAAAATATATATATATATATATATACCGTAACTTCAAAACCCTTTGTTCTGTTTCAGGCGGCTGTGGATTTGTTGTGGGCTGCTATGGCCGTGTCGAACCCCGTACTTGCTGAGCACCTCAAGTGCTCGCTCGTGACAGTCTCTACGGGAAAGCACACCAGCAAGTACGCAGACTACAACAGACGCAAGGTAAGCACATTACAATTGTAAGTACACGTACACGCCTATATATATATATATATATATATATATATATGTGTGTGTGTGTGTGTGTGTGTGTGTGTGTATAT